ATCTGTGTTTTTCCCTTTTGGGCCAAATAAATTTTTTCCGACAACTGTCTTGTCCACGGCGTATTTTATTCGTTCCACTGGGGTTTAGCAGGTGTGTTTATAAAGAGACGAAAATTGTTTGGGGACTATCCCCCACGTTCTAGTTGAGATGGTATAACCCAAGAGGCAAAATGATGCTTGCTACTGTTGTTGCGAGTTGCCATTCGTTCTACTAAACCATTAGTCATCATGTCTTCTGTCGTTATTACACAAACAAAAATCTCTTTACTGTTACTAGTGTTAGTGCCTCAATATGGCTACGCTCGTGAAAGCAATACAACGAACTCAAACGCGTCTTCGTTCAATGTTGTCAACTAATATCCGGATTAATTTTATGCAAATTTTCCTCAATTCTCCGGAGAAGTTTTCATAAAAATTTGAAAAACCCGGAATTCCGGAAAATCCGGAGGACTTTCATCTCTGATATAAGTAATTTCTTGGCTGTCGAGCAACGATAAATTCACCCAGGAAGAATAAAAAAACTCAGAACAGAGCCAAGAAGCGTTCTCAAGTTGAGAAAGAAAATAAAGTAAATGGTAATTCTACATCAAAAATGGGTCTGAATGAGGGGAGTTTGAATTTTTTTTTTTTTTCAATATCAGGTGAAATTGATGATCACGAGTCTGAGACTCGTGATCTGATTGGCTCTTGAAACCTGACTGTGCCCGTTCACTTACAGCGCACAGGGGCCTGCTCTGTTTAATCTGAAGGCAGCGAGCAAGTTTAATTTACCTGGCAACGCAAGCTAGCTGAAATAATATAAATAATTTCTCAAGTCCTTGGCCTTGGCCTTGCCTCGGAAAATTTTCCAAGGCCTTGGCCTCGGAGGCAAGTCCTTGGCCTTGGCCTTGGCCTCGGGTTGCCGGTCCTTGGACACAACAGTGAGATATATATATATAAAAATTCCTATCGTCCAAACCACTGACGTGCAGGCATTAGTTGGGGCGCTTTTATTTTGAAGGTAGCCAACGCCGCTTGCTGGCGGCAAATTACCGTAATGCACAGTAAACACAATCGCAGTGGTGACTCACTTGACTTCAATTTTGCGAGTGGAGGCTGGTTTGACCGCAGTGTCGAAAGAAGGGTGAAAGCCTTTCTCTATGTTGGTTCAGGCGCACTTCAACAACCTACATTTTTTTGGAAACCTGGTCCCCCTCCCTCCCTTCCCTCAGAAGCCATGTACTGGTTCCATTTCAGGAAATAAAAGATGGTCATTCAGATTACAATAGCTATGTTTGACAAAGCGTGTGTGTGAGTGCGTGTGTATATGTTTGTTTTCTACCAAGACGTAGGTATTAGGCCGAGTTAAACAGCGAATCTCATCGAGACAGCGTTGTAATTTTAGGACATAGATTCCGTCACCCCCCGCCCCCAATAAAAAGCATTTTCAGAATGTCGACAGCTCAACACTGAATTCGACGGTATCCTGCTGAATGTTTGCATGCTTCCAACTCGCAGATTATACAATGGAACACATAGATCGACAGACGTAGTTGGGGGAAAAAAAGAAGAAAAAAAACCTAAACCCACCTGTACGTGTTTCTTCAGACGCTTGCCGATATAAGATTAAAAGATGCTGGGGCCAAACGCTCCAACCGCATTTAGCCACTTGAATGTCAAGGCGAAAGTAAACACGCCGTGTCACGTGACAGACATTTTTTGCCCGTTTGAATGAGGTGCGTTTGGTTTTGGACCTGCGTAGCTTGGGCGAGTGGAACTCTGTTGTCAGCGTGATTTCGATTCGAAACGTGGGATTTATGAAGAGGAAAAATAAATACCATACATCAGTAAATAAAATACAAGTGAATTATTAAGTATGTCACACGCATTGATAGTCTCACATCAAGCGACGCATCTCAAGGATAACGTCAACTTTCAACAGGTACTTGATGGCGGGGACGTTTTTTACAGTAGTGCTTCAATTCTCATGTACATTCCAGTGATACTAACAGGCCAATACCAGGGCGTGGCTTGAGTGCAGAAGATAGGGGGAGGTCCAAGCGGTCTCTTATTTAAAAGCAACCTTGTTACCAAGCGCAACACAAGATCTTAACTTTGCTTGTTGAGCAGACTCAGCCGGCAAGTCCAACGAAACTGTCATGTCAAAATCAGACAGAGTTGTGTTGGTTCTGGGTGGAGCCGGGACAGTTGGCTCTGGAATAGTCAAAGCCCTACTGGATAAAGGTAAGATCGACACAGCTGACTTACTGTTTCTGTACACTACGGTGACGGTGTATGATAGGATGTTAAATATATAATTATATTAATATAGTACATTATTTATAAAAAATATAACTAATAACATTGTGTAGTGTGGAAAAAAATCTGTATCGAAGCCTATGTGACTAATCAGCAAAAAATGTAAATGTATCAGCACTGTTTTGGCTCGGCTGAGGTAAAGTTACATTTGATTCGTGATTAAAAACAATTAGATTTAATATTCGCTACAGTTTTACAATTTATTTTAAATCGAAAACATCATAAATTCTGCAAATACGTTTCTGTTGTGACTGACAGCTCTGACAATCGTTAAGGTCGGGGATGGGCAACTTAAATGATGCAGAGGCCCACAAATTTTCAAAAGCTCTACTGGGGAGATGGGGGAGCGGGCGTAGGTGGGAGGTCACCAGGACCACTTACTAACCTGAGGTTTGACAAAATTGTCAATTATAATATGTGCGTATGTCAAGATTTTTACTTAAAGCATTGCCAGAGTAAACTAAAGATATGGGAGCACCAGTGTCAGTTGATGTTAATTCAGTCATTTAAATTTGTAGGGAATAAAAAAAGCAGATCACAGAAATGCTACAAAACATGTAATTACAATTGGCAACTTTCTGACTTTAAGAATCACTAAAAGGCATCAAGAAAGAAAAATTTGGTAGTCAGTCTTTAGACCAGGGGTGCCAAACTCATTTTTGTCACCGGCCACATTGTAATGACCGTTTCCCTTGGAGGGGCGTTATGACTGTGAAAACATATAAAGAAGTCAAGAATAATGGCTCATTCAACAATTGTTTAAGTTAGTGGAATGAGGCATTTGGGAACAAGAAAATGCTTACAATATCTCACCTATTTATTACACGAGAAGTTGATTTTTTTTTTTGTCAGATTTTAGCAATCATTGTATAAGTTGACAGGTTTGATTCGCTTTCGTGGGCCACAGAAAATTGAATTGAATTGAATTGAATACAACTTTATTGTCAAATGTGCTGTACGTATGTGTAACATACAAAATGATACGGCGGGCCAGATCTGGCCCCAGGGCCTAGAGTTCAACACCTGTGGTTTAGAACAAGCAGAGGAGAAAAACATATGCAATCACTCAATTTTGAGGAAAAAAAATCATGAGAGGGATAAAAACCAAATAGTATTTTGTTGCAACACCTCTGGCTTTTACAACAGCTCGCAGTCCCCGAGGCATAGACTTCATGAGTGATAAACAGTACTCTTCATCAATATGACTCCTACTTTATCTGATTGCTATTGCTAGATCAACTTAGCAGGTTGGAGACTTACCATGGACCTGTTTCTTCAACTTCAACCAAAGATTTTCAGTTGGATTGAGATCTGGATAATTTTCAGGCCACAACATTGACTTTATGTCTTTCTATCAAGATTGTTTTCACAGTTTTTGCTGTATGGCTAGATACATTAGCATCTTGAAAAATGTCATCATCCACAAACATTCTTTCAATTAATAGGACAACTGTCCAAAATGTTTACGTAAACTATTCAAGATGTAATAGCAGCCCCTGTGCCTTGACCTGACATGAAGTAGAGGTAAGATCTTAAGCCCGAGCCCAACCTGACCCGACCCAAAATTCGGGTCGGGTCGGGCCTAAAATGTCAGTCATTGCTTCGGGTCGGGTTGGGCCGGGCTTCTCTCTCGCTGACTTTTTTTTAATAAATATACCTGTATGTTTAGTGTGCTGAGGCGTTTCGAGGCCGTGAATAGTTTTGGCCACGAGAGATCGTGGTTCCCAAAAAAAAAAAAAGTCATCTCATCACAACACGTACTGTACTAAACTCTTGCAATGACAATTCAAAGCACTCCTTCCTGTCTCTGTCTATTATCCACCCGTCATTGTTCTTCTTTGTCTCTCTGCTTCTCTCTCTTCAAGTGCCACGCTAGATTCTTCAGAACGTACTGCTGCTATGGTTTATAGCCCAATTTTCAACCCGTCAAAAGGACAGATGGCCTTAAATTTTTTCTGACAACTCTTAAAAAAAATCTGTCAATGATGGAAAACTGTCGGTTAATGTGCCCTCTGCAGAAACAGAAATATATAAGATGTAAATGTTTATACAGTCTTGTTTAACTTAGATTTCGTTACAAAAGACAGTCTTTAATTTGTTATCATAAATCACCCCTCCTCCTCCCGAGTCCTCACAAATAAAATATGAAATTTAGTGTTTGCTTCAGGTTCGGGCCTGCAAATCAAGTTAATTGGTCGGGATCGGGTCGGGTTGGGCTTTAATAACCGCGGGCCGGGTCAGGTCGGGCTGGATTTTTTAGGCCCGATCTTACCTCTAACATGAAGCCCCGTATCGTCAATGACTGTGGGAATGTTCAGATTGTCCTTAGGCAGTTCTCTTCATGAATCCCATTGGAATGGCACCAAACAAAAGTTCCAGCATCATCAACTTGCCCAATGCCAATGGTTCTGAAATAGTGGGGCCCCCCCAGGGGGGCGCGAGGCTCCGTCAGGGGGGGGCACGTTTGACCTTGGGGAACATGCTTTTTTATTTAGATTTTTTTTTACTGTCCTAGAATAAAGTGCAGTTGCATCTCCACTACGTTAGGAGGCAGTGGCGCTCTCATTGGCAGAGTTTGCGCGGGGAGCATTCGAAGGGAGGAACTATGACGAGGCGTATGTAGCGCTCGGCTTCAGTGTAACTACGGAGGGAGACGAGGAAATATCGGTGTGCTTACTACTGTGTCTAAATGTTGGTAGCGGACAGCCTGAAGCCAAATAAATTAAGGTGTGACTTGAAGACATTACACCCCAATCAGGCTGATAAGCCGCTTGAGTTTTTTCAGCAAAAATGTGCCGAATATTGCCAACAATCATGCCGCTTTGTGACTGCTATTTCAGTTAACTAAAATACAAGTCCCGGTTACACATTGAGCAGGAGCCGAGAGTTGCTGTGTCCTGCTTCAAACCTCGCTTCGTAAAGCGGTGCATTGAAAACGTGCACATTGTAGCCATTAATCCAGACATAATCTTTGATTAAAAAAAAATGAGCAAGTTATTTTATATACTTTTGTTTTGCAGGTTAAAGTTTTTTTTTTTTATATTGTGCTCCTCAGTTAATGTTGGTGATCAGTTTGAATGCATTATTATGTATTTATTTTATTTAATTTTGTTTTTCAGTATCCAATGGTTTGTTTGACATGGGCAGTCAAAAATGTTTACAGTTTAATTCAGGATTTAATTAAATTTTTGAATTTCAGATGCACTTTGAATCTTTTCTGGTTCAGTTAATAAAGCTATTCTTTGGTGTAAGTTGGTCCATATTTCTTTCTTTTATATTCTCGTGTAGGTTAAGGGGGGGCGCGAGATGTTTTCTTCTTCCTAGGGGGGGCATGACAGAAAATAATTGAGAAGCACTGCCCAATGCAGATTTGCGATTCAGTACTGAATATGACTTTCATCCAATGAACGACAGTCCACAATTGCTTTTCCTTAGCCCATTGTTGCCTATTTAGGTGTTAATGATGGCTTTCATTTAGCTTTAGTTTTCTGTATGCAAATCCCATTTCCATTTCTTGTAGTTCAGTCAGAGACATTAGCCCTGTTCACACGGCACACATTTGGTCCGACGCTGCACCGAAATATTTTGTTGCGATATATTTTACACCGGAGCAAATTTTGTGGAGCGGTCACACGTGCAAAGCCGCTGAGCGTGACAGCTCCGGCGCAGCGTCGGAGCAGCTCCACTTGCGGTCACACGTGCAGTTTCTGCTGCGGACCAAAGCGACAGGAATGCGGAAGTAAAACAGATTCGGGTCGGGCTTCTCTCTCGCGGACTTTTATTTACTTTTCTTTTAATAAATATTATGGCGGACACTATTCTGTCCTTGTTCAGAATAGATCCACTTGTCGGCAGTCGTGGAATAAAGACGTGTTTACAGTCAATCGTGTGTGCTCCTTGTGACTGCCACAATGTATGTTTTAAAAAATGTATACTAAAACAATGTGTGGATACTAAACTAAGGAATACTTGTTTTAAAACAAACAATTTGGATAAAACAGAGAGAATGCGCTGTAATTTAATTGCTATTTAACTGCTAAACAGGAGCGCGGCCAGCCAGACCAGTGCGCACGTATGTTAATTTCGTTTAAACAATCCTATAGAAATAATTTCAGATATCTTTACCTATTTATTTCACTTGAATTATTCTATTTAAAGCCTAGTAAGCCACAAGATTTATCTGCGTAATTAAGCAAATGCACATCGAGATTTCTCTTTGCCTGTCCTCTTATTCTGTATTTCAGCGTTATTTCGTTGTGCAAATGCATTGCACGGCTGGGCTTCGTCTGTGTCGCTGGCCCCCTCGTCACTGTCGACCGGGGTCGGATTCCGTGCATCTGGTAGCGAGCGTAGCGAGGCCACTCCCCCGCAAGCGAGCATTTGCTCTGGAGCAAATTTAACCCAGCTGCGTTCACACGTGCACATTTGTTCCGGCGTAGCGTCGCAAACGAGCATTTGCTCTGGAGCAAATTTTTAAACCACCTCCCTGAGGTGGATCAAATTTGGTCCGGTATAAGCTCTTTAGTGGAGCTACGTCGGAGCAAATGTGCACGTGTGAACGTTCGACTGGATCTGTTTCGGCGCAGCGTCGGACCAAACGTTGCCGTGTGAACGGCGCTATTGATTCCAGTTTCTTTCCATTTGTTCCTCATTTTTTGCTTTTCATTTTCTTTTTTCAAGACATACTGCTTTAAGTTTTCTTTCTTGACTCTTTGATATTGTCTTTGGTCTGTTACTGTGCTTGGCTTTCACAACCTTCCCATGCTGTGTGTATTTGGTCTAGGTTTTCAAGTCAGAGTTCAAGATGATGCACAGCACAGTCAGCCCTGTTACAAATTTTTAATGATATCTTCCAGGCAAATGAAACTGGAGATTGTGTGTGTCTTGTTTTGTTGGATCTAACTGCAACATTCAATACAGTGGACTACAGTATTCTGCTGGCCTGTTTGCAGCATCAGGTGTTCATTAGTGGTAGTGCTCTAGTCGATTAGATCCTATTTGGCTGACAGAAAATTTTGTGTTAGTCTAGGTTAGTCTGAGTCCCACTCTGCCCCTCTGCCGTAGGGTGTTTCACAGGGTTCTATTTTGGAGCCCCTGCTGTTTTCACTGTATTTGCCGCCCTTAGATTCCATCCTAAGACACCATGGTATTTCCTTCCACTGCTATGCTGGTGACAGTGAGATCTATGTCCCCCTGAGCAAAAAGTATGCATTCTCCTGAAGACCACTTTTGTCCAGTCTCGAGGAAATGGAAGCGTGGATCTCACTGAATTTCTTAAATTTCAATGAAAAGAAAATAGAATGTATGGTGTTTGGTCCCAGTGGCCATTGTACATCCCACCTTGTTGACCTGGGCACTCTAGCATCTTATCTAAAGCAAACAGTCTCGAACTTTGGTTTTAAATTGGATAGTGATTTTAAATTGTACTGGCAAATCAGTGCTGTTGTTAAATCCAGCTAACCTTCCTTTCTCAGTAGCACTTAGAAATTGTAATCCATGCCTTCAGTACTTCTCGCATAGATTACTGTCATACACTTTATTTTGGAATCAGTCAATCCTCCCTCGAGCATCTCCAGTTGGTCCAAAATGCTGCTGCTCGCCTCCTAACTGGAGCTCGTAAGAGGGAGCAAACAACCACAAGTCTGGCTTATCTTCACTGGCTCCCAGTACATTTTAGAGTTCATTATATCTGCTCCCCAGGATATATATGTGCAGTCCGTCATTCAACAGGCCAACAACATTCTCGATAATCCTTCTCACGTGCTGCACTCCCAATTCGAGCTCCTACATTCGCGAAGGAGGTACAGGACCCTTCTCTGCAAATTAAACCGATACAAAAACTCATTCATACCGCAGGCTATCAACCTAATTAACAAACAACTAGAGGAAGGCAGACAGACAAGCAAGAGGACATGAGGGCAGTGTGGAGTGTGCATATGACTGTGATGTACCGTCCATTGTGTGTAGAGTATATATCGTTCGGTACTGTATGTATTGTCCAATGTATGTGGTGTAGCGTATGTGTTTGTATTGTTCAATGCATGTAGCAGCAAGGAGGGCATGTCCTCCGAGACAAGTTTCTCCTATGGGAGACCAAATAAAAAGTCTAATCAAAATCCAATCATTATAAGATACTTCTATTTGTTTTCAAATCATTAAATGGCCACGAACCTATCTTACCTCTCTGAGCTCGTCGACCCCTATGCACCTGTCAGGTGCCTCAAGTCTGCCGATCAGATCAACTGAAGGTGCAGAGGACCAAGCTGAGCCTCCAAGGGGATCGAGCCTTTTCTGTTCCCTCTGGAATGACCTTCCATGAAATATTTGGCAAGCCTCCCTCCAGTCCATTTTTAAAACTCGTTTGAAGACACATCTTTATTCTTTGGCTTTCGACCCAATACGAGACTGAGACTGTTCTATAGTTTTCTGGTGTCTACTGTATGAGTTTGTATCATCAGTTTGTTTTTTTTAATTTACGGTTTTCACTTTCTTTTGTTCTGCGATTGGCTGGCAACCGGTTCAGGGTGTCCCCCGGCCTACTGCCCGAAGATGGCTGGGATAGGCTCTAGCACCCGCTGCGACACTTGTGAGGATAAAGCAGATCGGAAAATTGATGGATGGGCTTTCTGTGGTTGTTGTATTATTGTCATTTTATGTTATATGCAAAGTGCTTTGTTTCAGCTGCAGCTGTTGTTAATTATGATATACAGTATAAATAAAGTTGTCTTGTATATAAGTGGCAGCACAGTGGTCTAGTTCAGAGGTCCAGGGTTTGGTTTCCGGGCTCCGGCCTTCTGAGTGGCGTTTGCATGTTTTCCCTGTGCTTGTGTGGGTTTTCTCTGGGTACTCCAGTCTTCAACCACATTACAAAAACATGTATGGTTGGTTAATTGGACACTGCCAAGGTGCAACTGTCAGTGTGAATGGTTGTTCATCTATGTGTGCCATGCGATTGGGTGGCAACAAGTTTAGGGTGTACCCGCCTACTGCCCGAAGACAGCTGGGATAGGCTCCAGCCGCCCGCGACCCTTGTGAGGATAAGTGGATCAGATAATGGCTGGATGGATGTACTGTATATAGGTTTTAGACACAGCTGACTATGAACAACATCTATTCCAACATTGTGTGAAGATTTACCTTTTTTAGATTGATAATCTTTTTCGTTGTTTCAATTCACATTTCTTGTGTTTGAGCCATGATCAAGTCAAGTCAAGTCAAGTCAGCTTCATTGTCAAATATGCTCTACGTGCAACATACAGCACAGATGAAATTTCTTTCCTCTCAACCATTGTGCAACCACAAGAGAGAGAGGAGCTGCTGCGGGTACCCGTGCGGCCATCAACAGAACGGTTAACATAAAATAACAAAATAATACAACACATAAGAAACAGACAGTCATACAATCTTAACCACTTTTTCTGCATACACTTTGTCGTTTGAAGTAGTTATAGATGAAAGAGGAGAGAATCAAAGTGTCCTTTCACTAGTGGCTCAAAGACGTCACGCTGAAAATGTGCACACATCTGCTACAAGCTAAGTTTGAAAGCAAACAAGAAGATGTAAATCCGCTTCAATTCCAAGCGGCGACTGCCAGTTCCACATACGCATCTGCGCTCTGTGCGGGCACTTCTTTGTTCTCATCATCGGCTCCACAAGCCATCCAGCCGCAGACTGTCCAACAGCACCAATATTTCCGCTGAACAAAGGGCTGTGAAAAATGCTGCCCGTTACAGGCGCAAAAAACACAAGCGCCCCGGGGTTGTCAAATGGCGCCAACATTCCTCCCAATCAAAATCAGTGCTGGTACACGCGTGCTGCCGAGAAGCACACCAAGCACAGATTCTTCTCCTTTGACGAACGTCGTGGCCAAAAAAATGCTGAAAACAATCCACATCAGGTCCACATGACGCAACAACAAACAAAATGATTCATGTCAGTACAGTTGGTGCAACAGTTGTACAAGGTGTTTGGGAATGGACATTTAGTTTGGGAATGGAAATTTACATGGGGATTCAAGATTAGTATGTCCCATTAGGCCCCACACTATGTCGTTAAAGATCCTCATTACAAGTTAACTTTACCATCTATGGTTTCAAATTTCACAATTTCCTTTTAAAAGGTCAAAAGCATTTATAAAACTATTCAATCAAGCAAAACTAGAGAGCACTTTTCATCAAGAAATTTTAACTCCAAAGTGCTTTACAGGGACTTCCGCTCTTGTAACACAAGTCAAGTCATGGACAGTACGTTGTCATCGCGAGATCATTTGAGCATCCTGGCTCCCTCATACTGGTCAGTGGACTCAATCATTTCCACTCTCTCATCGACGAATGACGACACACATGTAGACTATTCTACAAGAGGGAATAAAAACTCCAATGAGGAGGGATCTATTCTCCATATTAGTCGGACTTATTATTTTACAGCACTTTGTCACAGCTGCAGTTGTTGTTGAAGTACTCTGGAAATTAAGTTGGGTTGAGAATGTGTGAATGTGTGTCTAAGTGTTTTTGTTGTTGTTAATTACTGCAGGTTTCAAAGTTGCGGTAATCTCGAGAGACAGCAACCGGCTGGAGAGACTCACATCATTCATCTCTGCCAACACGAAAGACAGCCTCATCACAATTGTAGGTGACGTGGGTGAGTTATGCAAGTGATTTTTCAAGTAAACCCATCCTTATTTGTTGATGTTTTTGGTACTATATTTTTTAGGACCTAGACTAGAGTAACGTTCATGGGTAAATAAAAAAAAATTATGAGAAACGTAAAAAAAAAAAAAAAAAATCCATAACTGTACTTTTTTATGTCTAGATCACTTTCTGAATAAAGTGCAAAACTGACACTTGTGGGTGGCCCACTGGTTAGCGCGTCGACCTCACAGTGCAGAGGTTGTGGGTTCGATCCTGGCTCTGGCCTTCCTGTGTGGAGTTTGCATGTTCTCCCCGGGCCTGCGTGGGTTTTCTCCTGGTACTCTGGTTTCCTCCCACATTCCAAAAACATGCATGGCAAGCTGATTGAACACTCTAAATTATCCCTAGGCGTGTGTGAAAAAGTAACTTTTCACTCCTTTGAAGCACAAAAATGTGCTTGCAGCATACACAGCTGATCTACCCCGAAGCCTTGAGTTCAAATGAATACAAAGATTTTGATGGCTGTGCAGCAGTGCACACAGGAGAGAAAGATAAACCTAAGTATCAATCAATAGCAATTATTTAGATCAACTACATAAGGCTTTTTTCAACTCACTGACTGTTCTAAACTTGTTTGGCACAGTGATGATTATAATTTTTTAACTTCATACAGACAGAGGTGGTAAATATCACCATATGTACTTAAATAGAAGTACAGATTCTTTGTGACTTTGTGCTACAAAAGATTCGCATTAAAGTAGAAGGACAAGAGATGCGAGGAAATCATGTTCTGTATGGGCAAGTCCCAAGTCTTACCCTTCAAGTTTTAAGCAAATTAGTGGGGGGGAAAAAATCTTGCCCGTCAAGTCGAGTCCCCACTAAATGTCAAGCAAGCCAAGTCTGCCAAGTTTTGTGTGATGTTTGCAGAAGTGCAGGGAGGCAGGGCAGTATGATTACTACAAGAAGCATGAACAAGGCTTAGGTGACAAATGACAGTAACAGTCTGACACAGACTGACAGAAAACTGTATTGTGGATTGAACTGAGCAGAATACAGGAAATGACATTGGTGAGAATTTCGAGTCTAATTGTGTTGCAAAATCATTAGACTGCTGCCACAGATCAATTAAACACGAAAAGTCCATTTTACAGGCGATGAGGAGCTAATGGACAAGAAACTCAGTGTCCTGAGTGACCAGGTGATGAGAAGTCCGCAACCTATGCCAGTGCTCCCAGGTTGAAGCATTGTGCTATCTGACTGGACTTAGTCTGGCTAACACTGTGATTGACTCCAGATACCATTTTTTGAGTAAAAGTAAAAAGTCAGAAAATTAAATACTCAAGAAGAGTACAATCCATCCATTTTCTAATCCGTTTATCCTCACAAGGGTCGCGGGCGTGATGGAGTCTATCCCAGCTGTCTTCGGGCAGTAGGTGGGATACACTCTGAATTGGTTGCCAGCCAATCGCTGGGCACACATAGACCAACAAGAAAAGTACAAATACCTGCAAAATGTACTTAAGTACAACAAAGAAGAATATGTACTTAGTTTTTCCCTCGATGTCAGAAGTGGTTCACTGCTACATGAGGTCTTGATTAAATTGGTCTACTTTTGAATTTAAAACAAACCTGACCTTGCAAACATGCGAAAGAGCCTCATTCAAGGGGCTCGTAAACTATGCCCATGTTTGGACTTCCAGAATGAAGCGGTCCACGTCACCTGCAGGCTCTCTTCTGTGGTGAGTGTCAGTGAATATGTGACAATGTATGCATCAAACTATCATAGAACAACTGAGTGCACACCCTCGGCCATACTACTGAAAGTATAATTATCCTAAAAAAAATAGATGTAAAAATAAAGGATAGAAAAACCTTTATTTGCATCACAATGGAGGTGTAGATTTTCATCACACATTTGACTTTGTTACAGCTGCAGTTGGTAACGTTGCTCCAAAGCTTGTGAAAGTGTTCTGGAGTTGTTCAAGTCACTGTACCCAATTAGGACTACTGAAGTCTTGAAACTGCCCTGAATATGTCTGTCAGGCTCAGAGGTTGGAGTGGAGCAGGCGAAACAGGACCTCCTCAAAAAGGTGGGAAAGATTACAGATGTCATTTCCTCTCTGGGGTTCAGTTGGTGGCAGGGAGGACCTCCACATACCCAGACCCTCAAAGATCTGCACTGGGTAAGTACACACAAAGGAAGTGGTTGAGAAAGAAAAAACTTAATACATATATTTTATTTTTTTCGACTATTTCGGTTTAGTAATTGTGTTTATCTACAGCAGAAATGATCAACCAGTCAATTGCGGTTGACTGGTAGACCATGGACTGCTCCGAAGTTGAAAATGTAATGAAAAATGTTTTCCTGTGTATGCGGGTTGTTGTTGTTGTGATTATTATTACTGTTATTGTTGTTGTTGTTATTATTATTATTATTATTATTATTATTATTATTATTATTATATTTTGCGTTAATGTACACTACAGCCTGTGCACCCAATCAGTCTCACGTCTTAACTTAAGCCACCCTTTGTATGTATACCTCACATCATATCCCTTCAAATACGCTGCTGAGTTGAGTTGGTGGGTTACAATTTTATTTGACTGGTCAGCTCTCTGCGCTCCCAAACTGGAGACATGCTGGCGGCGCGGGTTTGATCCCGACTTGGGTGGACCCTGCAAGAGTACAGAGCCACCACTTACTGATATCCACCTCCAATAGTGGATGAATGCACATCCAGAGCATTCCCCCCCAAAAAAAAAAATGTAGATTGCAAGAGGTTGGCTGCTTGAAAAGTAGGTCTTCGGTCTATCGGATGTTTGATATTTAATATTACTGTTGAGCATTCCCACTTAATAACAAATGTCTTATTTTTCTTTGTGAATCTCCAGGTGATGGAATCTTTACTTTTTAGTACATTTGTGTCATGGAAGGCCTTCTTTCCTTTGGTGAGAGATGATTCCAAATGTACCTACACATTTATCACAGGTGAGAACGCTTGTTTTATATGTGCACGTCAAAGGTTCCATACCATATCTTATCCTATTCATAGAATGTCTCATGGGTTGTGCCAGGTCCATGTTCAAGTACCCTTGAGCAAGATACTTTGACCAGTGCCAGTGGCTCTGGTTGTTGCATCATCAATGGATAAATTAGCTTTCAAGCTCACCTCCATAATATCATGTTCCAGTAATAAGTGTAAAGCACTCTAAGTGCCGAAAGGTAGAAAGCAACTATGTTAGTGAAAACCATTTCCAGAGAAATTAAGCCAATAACTAAGAGGTAAATGTGTGATGCCCACTTTTCCTAATCTGAGATGCCACCTTGTAAAAAGTGATGCACTCCAAAGGTCTTGTGATTGTAGTCTATGTCTACAATGTTTTCACTCTCGAGGTTGATGTCCTGAGGACAGTGTTTATCATGCCTATGTATGTTTGGTCTGCATCACAGGGGGAGCAGGAGAAAAGCTTCTGATGCACGGTACTGGTTTCCTGACTGTCGGAGCTGCCAGTGCCCTGGCCTTCTGCCAGGTCCTACGAGAAGAGTACCCAGAATCACCCTGCAAACTCTACCAAGTGAGACATTAATAGCATCACAGAGAAAAATATAACGGCATACCGTTGGGCATTGCAATTTGATCAATTCTGTTTGTTCGTTTCAAATAGCACAGATGGCATTTCACTATATAGACATTCTGTGGTATAACTGAGGAGTGGCTCAAATTAACTTTCTCAAGTTACAAACAGTTGATTGTTTTTTTTTTTTTTGCTTCGTGTTGTGAGCTAAAATTATTTATCTGCACTCTATTGAATTGATTAAATGAACTGTTTTAAAGTGCTCTATGAATACAGTTGAGTTGAGAAATGTGAGAACTCTTTCGAAGATATGACCATGTGGGTCAGGTTATAGCAGTTCTTTAGTCAAGACCAAGCCGACTACCCAGAGTATCTGGAGAAAACTCACGCAGGCACAGGGAGAACATGCAAACTCCACACAGGAAGGCCACGGGCCGGAATCGAACGCTGCAGCTCTGCACTGTGAGGTGGACGTGCTAACCAGTCGTCCATCGCGCCATCCCTTACCTGGATGAACAAAGGTTATCCATCCATCCATCCATCCATTTTCCCATCCACCCCATCCTCACAAGGGTCGTGGGCGTGCTGGAGCCTATCCCAGCTGTCTTCGGCAGTAGGCGGGGGACACCCTGAACCGGTTGCCAGCCAATCGCAGGGCACACCGAGATGAACAACCATCCATGTTCACACTCACACCTAGGGACAATTTTAAGTGTTGCATTAACCTGCCGTGCATGTTTTTTGAATGCGGGAGGAAACAGAAGTACCCAAAGAAAACCCACGCAGGGACTGGGAGAACATGCAAACTCCACACAGGAAGGCCGGAACCGGAATTGAACACCGAACCTCTGCACTGTGAGGCGGATGTGCTAACCGAGGGCAGCTCGCCCACAAAGCTGCCCTCAATTCTACCCCTGAAATGAAATTAATATTTCATGCAATATAATCAGGGTTTGGCTGAGTTTTTGTCTTTTATGAAAAAAAAAAGATTCGGGCCATTATTTAGAAAGGTGACGATATATTTACTTCCGTAAACACAACACCGCGTGATGCTGTTTTATGTACTTGCTTGTCACTTCATGGAAGCATACTGTTCACATTAGAAGTCGCATTTGTTTTTGTAATTTGAACGAGTACATATAACAAATATTCCAAATGAGGCATTATGCCCTGCAGTGTGAACATAGGCTAAATGAATTCCAGTGATCATATTGATCGAAACCTGCTGTCAGTACCCTTTATTTCCAGTAAATAATTCATGTGTTGCATTCTTCTTCTGTAGTGTGTGTGCTGAACATTGTCTTATTTGGTCTTGGCAGATGAAGATAGACACAGGTGTTGCTACAACGGAGAGAATGACCCCTGGGTACTTGAATCACCTTGACCTGGGTGATGCTGTTGCCAAACTGGTGGAACAACAAAACGCATCTCACGTCGTTTTCACCATCAGATGCCCTGCAGATTTAAAATCTGTCGTCTTGGATGAGAACATTTAAAATTGAGAAACCCCGCCATGTTCTCCCTCTTTTCACACATTTCTAATGGTCTTACTCTCACCTAACTTCCTTGAAATAGAAAAATGCTGCTCGTTGTATCAGCAACTGTTTTGTAATATGTAATAGTTGTCCCAAAAAAATGAAAAGAAATACTCTGAGAAAACCTGAACTCATTATTCTAAAGACTGAAAAAGTTGCACAGTTTATCAGTGTCGGATCTCAGGCAAAGTGGAGATCATTGGTAATACGTCACATCGGATGCAGATGAATCAAGACAAAAACAGTGCAGGGAACTAGAGGTATGTCGCTCAGAAACACAACACAGAGAATCTTGTCATGGCATCCCACATTTATAGCATGAGCATTTGCCTTGAAGTTTAACTACTCAGGTAGTTTTACCTATTTACTGTGAGGAATGAGGACAAACAGAACAACTGATGTAAGTCATACCTGTTAGATACATTTTCAGTCACAACTCTACAAATATTCATGATCAACTGAAACAAAAGACAAAACAAGGCTGAGGTATAACAAGTGTCATTTGTCCAAATACTTTTGCAATAAGGAATTTTATGGGGGTTCTGGTATCAGATCTTGTGTGTTTATTACAAATCGACTCTAGTACTGTATCAAGGCAAAAATCATAAAAATGTGCCATAACATGCACACTGAAAGCTAATTTAGAGAAAACAAAACAACAAAAAGATGCGCATCTGCACTGTTGGGCAAGCGCTGGGAAAATGTAGGGAGCTGAGCTACAAGTTATTCTACATGAAAATGAAGCACCACTATAGAAATGTTGCATACTAAGCTTCAATAATAAAAGCAAAAGCTAAACTACATCAAATCTGCTTTAGTTGGATTGAGCATTTTTTTTTCTAAATAAATTGTACAAGTGGAGTATCAGTGGCCACTTCATTCGAAAGTCTTTGGATAATGTATCTCACAACAACTGCAATGTCAAAATCTTGGGCCAATGCAGTGACAGCACTGTCTTATTATTATTATTATTAACAAACAATAACTGATCAGTGAGTACTAAACAAATAATGTATTATAGCTACAGAGCTGGTCATTTAGTTATCAAATACAAAAAAAACTATTTAAAAAGATCACAATTTGTTTTTGCAGAGAAAATGACTTGGACACAGATGTATGAATAAATACTTTTCAGCTTCATCTGTCTTTTCGTTTTTCCTACCTCGACCTGTCAAAATTTACTACACACACACACACACACACACACACACACACACACACACACACACACACACACACACACACACACACCCCCACAACCACCACCCACACACACACACACACGTATAATCGTTATAAAAAACGGAAAACACATTCAATACATATCCAAGTCCAAGATGGCGCCCGAGTAGGCAGCCGTTGGCAAGTGCTCTCATGAGCCTTGCTTTTTGTTGTTGTTGTTTTTGTGTTTGTTTTGTCACTTTGTGTTTGTTGTTGTGTCGTGTGGACCGGATGTGGATTGCTTTTCAGCATTTTTTGGCCACGACATTCATCAAGGAGGAGACTTGGTGCTTGGTGGTTGCGCCTTCTCGGCAGCATGGGTATAACAGCACTGTTTTTTATTGGGAGGAATGTCGGTGCCATTTGACTGTCATTGCTGGACAGCTCTGGAGCGCTTGTGTTTTTTTGCGCCTGTAATGGGCAGCATTTTACACAACCCCGCTTTGTTCAGCGGAGAGATCGGTGCTGTTGGACGGCCTGCGGCTGGATGGATGTCAGGCTTGAGGAGCCGACGATGAGAAGAAAGGAGCGGCAGAGCAGAGCGCCGATGCGAATGTGGAACTGGGAGTCGCGGCTTGGAGTTGAAGCGGATTACGTGGGACAGGAGATGTGAGCCAATCTCTTTTCGTCAATGGACGCTACAGCTTCGTGTTTGCTTTCAAAACTTAGCTTGTAGCAGACGTGTGCACCTTTTCAGCATGACGTCTCTGATCCACTGGTGAAAGTACTCTTTGATCCTCTCCTCTTTCATCTATAACTGCTTCAAACAACAAAGTGTATGCAGGAAAAGTGATTAAGATTGCACGACTGTCTGTGTCTTATGTGTTGTGTTATTTTGACTTCAAGATGGCGCCGCGAGAGTGGCTGCCTTTCCAGCAGCTCCTATATTTCGTTCTTCTACTTCTTCCTTTCATAACTTTGCTGCTGTGAATTGGGAATTTCTCCATTGCGAGACTAATAAAGGATTTCTTATCTTATCTCATCAAAAATAAAATATAAATAAAAATTGTATGTATGAGTGAGTGAGAGAGAGAGAGAGAGAGAGAGAGAGAGAGAGAGAGAGAGAGGGAGAGAGGGGGAGAGAGAGAGATGGTATAGATCAGACATACGGCCTGCGGGCTGGAACCGGCCCCCAAGGAGGTTCGGTCAGGCCTGCAGGGTAATTTAAAAGTGAAAAAATGCATAAAAGACACGGAATGAATATTTTTAATAAGGTGCAATTCATGGATTATCCGCTCCGGGACACACTGTTTTGATCAGAGTAGAAGATAACATTGACTGCTGTTGTCTTCTTCTCTGATCAAAACAGTATCAGGCTGTCACTGAGACAGACCCAACACAGCAGACGCTATCAACGATAGCATATCCACCTGTGCTGCTCTGTCCCCTCCACTGCCCTAGTCTCACTCTCTAGTTATTCAACAACAGCTAGTGCTCAATCTCCACACCAAGCAATGAGTAGGCTCATTGATGTGGATCCCCATCCTGGCACGGCCCACACTGCAATACAAATATGTTGCGCGATGTGGCCGAGATGAATTGTTTTCTGATTGTATTGTTCCAAATGAACCAATCACGTCCTTGAGTCGAATCGTCAACCTCAAATCATTTTAGGTATTGAGTCATTTTAGAACCAATTGTTACAGCTCAAACAAACAGTTTGGATTCCAGTTATCTGACTGACCAACAGTTCAGTAAAATCATAAACTGTGTGGACTCAATCTGGTTGTCCATCCATTCATTTCCTACTCTGTTTATCCTCACGAGGGTCGGGAGTGTGCTGGAGCCTATTCCTGTTGTCATCGGGCAGTAGGCGGGGGACACCCTGAACTGGTTGCCAGCCAAAATCGCGGGGCACACACAGACAAACAACCATTCGCACTCACACCTCAAGTCAATTTAGAGTGTTGGAAAAGAGGAAAACAATGGACAAGCCACAGAATACAGCACACTGTGCCCATTAATGCATTCATGTACGCTTTACGAAAGTAGGCAACTGAAAGTGATTATTCAGAGCAATTGTATTGTCCATTATGACCCACTGAGTCTTTGTCTCAACCTCTGTGTTTCATCCTGCATTCAACAAATCTCCTGGGTCAGTTCCACAAACAGACAGTATGACCGACTTTCAGGCCCGGCCATGAAGAGGCACTTTTGTAGGGAGACAAAAGGCCTTGGACAACACCCTGCTGTGTCACGCCTAACTGGTCAATGAGAACCGACTGGGAAGAGTCTCTTTCCGTCCTCTACAAATGATGTTTGGGTTGTTTTTTTTCTGTTGTTCATTTTCCTCGATAAATCTTTAATTGCCTCACAGGAGACTTTTTAGAAGTAGAGAAGTGGTTCCAGTTCCTTTCCTCTGATCTCATTTGAATGAAACTGAAGAAACTTTTTTTCCAGTTTTCATTTCCTAATTACAACAACATAATTATACCAGAGCTACACAGTGTCAGCCTATTAAAACAATGCAATGTATTGTAATTCGTATTTAAGACTGTACAATTGAGTTGCCTTGGACAAATAGATGCCTGGATGGATGATATTCCCACGTTGTCAGCCTTCCGAATGAGTTCATTTTTTCGATGTCTCTGGCACTGAATAATCAAAGTAGATGGCATCTGCTTCCACTGAACCTTGATAGCTTCAACATCTTGCTCTCTTCAACATAGCTTCCCAGGAAGCTATGACTCACGACCCAGGTGTGGCTCTTTTGATGATTGCATGTGGCTCACAGATAAAACAAAATATTTTTGCTTGTTTAATCCATCCATCGATTTTTCACTGCTCATATATATATATTAGAGCTGTCAAACGATTAAAATATTTAATCTAATTAAAAATGCAACTGTCATAATTAACTCAAATTTACTAAAAATTAATCGTGATTACTCACGCATTTTTTATCGTTTCTGAATTTCCTTTTATTTTTTTTGTCCTATTTTTCCCCATTTTATTGCTCTCATCAACATGGAATCATGAATCAGTTTTCTATGTGCAAAATGCAAATATTTACTGAAATAACAATTTCGATTTTCAATTTTACATGAACACAACATTTTTCACTTGGAGCAGTTATTCACACATAATCTCTCACACAATATTACTGTCCATCAACAACAGTGAAAAAAATATTTTGTCACACAACAGCTGCTTTAACAGCTCTTTTTATGGAATCAAAACAGAGCAATGTAACATTATAAAGTGCACATCTAAGGTAAACTAGTACTCAGCCTATAGTGGATTTAAGCCAATGTTGCAGACTTCATTTTTCTCAAGTTTGCTTTGAACACAGCAGTCAGGCTATGTTGATTCTGTTGGTCCTTCTTGCTCGGAAGTCTCTCTACGGTTTTGTGTAGACATCATTTCGGATGACTACACTTGGTTAGATGACAACACTGGAGACTTTTTATTTTCAGTGTGTTTGCTAGGTCGCGACCACTGCACTGCTGAACTCTCGAGGTGCCT